CTAAAAATATTATTTTAGTAAGAAATTTTGGAACGTAAATAATTTTATTTTGAAATTGGAACGAAAATGATGAATTATTTTGAAACTAAACAACTAGTTTGTAAGATGTTAAAGAGGATTTCCAAACGTTTACATCACGTGAATTTCTTGTTTTTCTTTATAGACTATATAACCACGTTTGCTACTAACAATTATTGCTTGAATTTTTTTGTTTTATTCCAATCCCAGGTCTTTCGTGGATACAGGTGGAAGGTTGGTTTCGAATACGTGGTGTGAATGTTGCTCGATATGTAAATGAAAAAAACAAAAGTGTCCCAAGTTTTATTTTCTCCCTTCTTTTTATGCACAGTTTGCATATTTCATGAAACAAATTGTCATTTAAATTTTTATGTATCGGATGTGTTTTTTTGTGGGACATCTGAAAAAATATTTTTAGATTTGACCATGAAAATTTAAAAGTATACAAGATAAAAATTTACATTGACATGAAAGAGATGCAGAGATTTTTTTATTGATTTAAAATACCTATAACGATGAAATATAGTTTTCGAATTACATTTTTCGTTTATTTATTTGTTATTATTAATAACAAATAATATGTAGAATAATATGTAAAAATTTATCTATTATATTATTTTATTATTATTGAAGGAAGAAATTAGCATGCATGTACATGTGTGTCTTTTATAGGAATGATAATTGTATGTAAACACAATTCGTACGAAAATTGCATGGAATACATCACGCTAACAAGTGCATTTTAGAATTTGTGCGCATGTATTGTGCGATTGTTGTTTCTCGCTAATATATTTTGTCTTGTTATGCAGTCATACACGGAAAATGTGCCGCAAGATTTACCGGTGGGTCACGAGGTCATGCGAGTTTCCGCTACCGATATTGACGACGGCAACAATTCCGTCGTACGGTACAGTCTGTCAGCTGAGAGACCGGATGATGCTGCATACTTTCGAATCGATCGCGAGTCCGGTGTCATATTCCTCAACAAAACTATAGACGTGAGTAATGCGAAGATATATATATAGAACGATAGTTAAGAGGATAATGCAAACTTCGTTTTACAATGTCGTTTGGAAACTAGAACTTGTAACTTTTATTTGATAAAAAAAATAATTAGAGATTAGAATGGGCATATAAGAGTTAATAACGCAAACCATATAATATGAAAATTAAAACACATAATATATTGTTCTCGGTAAATTAAAATTTGACTAATGTAAATTATATTGGTACTACAATATATTTTGTGTTTTGATTTTCATATTATATGATTTGCGTTATTGACTCTTATATGTCCTTTTCTGATAATCTTTAATTACTTCTTTTTTACATTAAGAATCCTTTATTCTTGTCTAATTTAATTTTATTTGATAATTTAAGCGACGATTGTTTTATTAATTCAAATTTTTTTTATTGTCTTTAACTTTGTTACGTAAATATATATTTGGAAATGCAATTTTTAGTTGTTTATGTGAATAATGCTTAAAATAAAGTTATTGAATTATTAAAAGAAAAAACTTTTGTTATCTTATTTCTCGTTTACTAAAAATAATATTCCTGGAACCTTCATAAATGTATCATATTGATTTATTTACTTTCAACAAACTTAAGCTTCTCTCGTTTTATTTAATTTACGTAAATGCTCTTGTATTATGGTTACTATGTATTTGTGCAGCGGATTCCAAATTCTAAATTCAGCATGATAGTTACCGCTACGGATCTTGGCAAAAAACCACAGAGTGATAGCACTTACTTTGACATACAAGTTGTGGAATCGCATAAGAAAGCGCCAGCTTTTTTACCGAGATCATCAGAACCGATTAAAATTAAGGAGAATTTTACAAATTTCGATGCCAGCATTGTCCGTTTGCAAGCAATTTCCAACATTGATAACTCCAGTAATTGGAATAATACTCCGTCCAGTAATCTACTCTTTGAACTTGTGACTGGCACAACGGAACAGAGTAACAAAGGGAACACTTTTAGGTACTATACGAATCGTGCTTACTATTTTTTCATTCTTATAATATATATTTTGATTCTAATAATATATATTTTAAAATGAAATATGTTAACAATTGCAAATCAACCGTGTCTCACATGAAAATTTGATTTTGTCATTATAGATTAGAATTCAATAAAGATATAGCAGATATTAAGTTGTCTCGACAGCTTGATTACGAAAGAAACACGCAGTACTCGTTGATAGTGAGAGTAAAAAACAATTATGAGTTAGCTGCCGAAACGGTGGTTGATATCGAAGTTCTAGATGTAAATGACAACATTCCAGTCTTCAGTGATCTCAAACAAGGAAGTGTATTAGAAAACGAACCCCTAGGAGTTCCTGTGATGCAAGTGCAAGCTATTGACGCTGATGGAACTTCCGCTAATAATCAGGTATTAAAATTGCACAAATTACACTTTGCGCTTCAAGAATGTCTTTTATTACGATTATGCGTCAAAGTTTCATTATGTCTTGCACTTAAGGCAATATCTCGACTTTCATCCTCAAAAGGTCACCTACGAGTTGGATAACTTCAAGGACCTCTTTGCCATCGACCCAATAACTGGTAATATCACAACGTTAATGACATTCGACAGAGAACAACAAGATATCTACAATGTGAAAGTAATAGCGACGGATAATTCTCCGAGTGCTTTGTTTAAAACCGGTGAACACAATAAAGGACAACAAGCATTCACAATCAAAATCGCTGATAAGAATGACAATCCGCCTCGCTTCACTCAGAAAGTTTACACCCATAATTCGGTTTACGAAAACGTCAACATTAACGCGCCCGTAACGGAAGTCACAGCCCGCGATCTTGATACGGAGAATCCTGTCACGTACAGCATCATATCGGGCAACACCGATGACAGCTTTTACATCGAGGCTACAACGGGAAAGATTCGCGTGAACAAGCCACTTGATTACGAAAAAATTACCAAATACAATCTAACTGTGAGAGCGTTCGACGGCCTGTTTAACGATACGGCACAAGTTGAAATTTTTATCGAAAACGTTAATGATAATCCGCCAGTTTTCGAAGATTTCGACAAAAATCCGACGATAGAAGAAGAAAAATTGGTAGAAGGTAAAGTATTGGTGCAATATTTTTCGATAATCTTGCAAAATTTTCATTTTTTAAACAAACTTTATTATTGTTTGTTTAGATTGTGTAACTACTGTGGTGGCTTATGATCCTGATATCGAAGATAGGAATGCTGATCAGCATATTGCCTACTTTATCGCCAAGGAAGAGCAACAACCCCTGATAGGAATTGACAAATATGGCTGTATGAAACTGAAGAAACCACTAGATCGTGATCCGCCGAATGGTTTTTCAACGTGGACTGTAAGTTATTAGTCATGTATTTATCAAATTAATAGAGAAATTAAAATTATCAAAATAATTGAGAAATTAATTTCGTTTTTCTTGCTTTTTCGTGGTTTTTAACAGGTAATCGTAATGGCGAGAGATGAGGATGGTTCATCTATGGCTTTTCGAGAGTCGGTGGTAGTTAATATTACCCTCACAGATATAAATGACAACGCACCGTTTCTCGATATGCCTCCAGTTATTTGGGATGAAAATAAACCACCTGGCAAGATAACCGAGTTGAAGGCACGAGATTACGACTCTGACGAGAATGGTCCGCCATTCGATTTCAGAATCGATGACACTGCGGACAATGAAATTAGATCTAAATTTGACATACGCGATAATAATTTATATGCGCGAGCTGTGTTTGATCGAGAAATGCAGAAGAGTTACAACATTCCGATTGCAATTACGGACAGTGGTTTACCGCCTATGACGGGTACCTCGACGCTCACTGTGATCATAGGCGATGAGAATGATAATCCTATGCGTGAGGGTTCAAGTTCGATATTTGTTTATAATTACAAGGGAGAAGCTCCTGACACAGAAATCGGACGCGTTTACGTTAACGATCCGGATGATTGGGATCTACCAGATAAAACTTTTAAATGGGTTTCTCCTCACGACGGTTTCCATCTTAATACCAGTACCGGCATGATTACATTACTATCGGGTACATCAAACGACACCTTTGTATTGCAATTTGTTGTCACTGAACAAAGTAAACTTATTCCTTGGCATCAAGTTCAAGCCTATGTGAATGTTACTGTTAAGGAACTTCCCGAAGAAGCTGTTCACAAATCTGGTTCTGTACGATTTTATGGGATAACAGCGGAACAATTTGTAGAACCTGACGAATCTGGTGTCAGTAAAAAGGATATATTCCAAGAGAAATTGGCAACTATGCTGAATACATCAGTTGAAAATGTCGACGTGTTCACCGTACTTCATTCGCCTCATCACAACAATAAAAGCTTACTGGACATTCGATTTTCGGCACACGGCAGTCCATATTACGCTCCCGAGAAGTTGAACACAATTGTAGCGCAACATTCTAAAGAAATTGAACGAGAGATGAAAGCGGATATTTTATTAATGAACATTGATGAATGCCTATTCGAGAAGCTTTACTGCAACGATTCGTGCCGGAATCACTTGAGCACCAGCACCGTTCCGTATGTCGTTTATACTAACATCAGCTCGTTTGTCGGTGTTAGGGCGATCGCAGATCCACAGTGTACTTGCCACGTCGCGGAACCTGTCGTCTGTTTAAACGGTGGTACGCCTGTGGGAGACCGATGTGAATGTCCGCCTGGTCTGGAAGGGCCGAAATGTGAACTGTTAGGTATTGGCTTTCACGGAGACGGCTGGGCTATAATGCCGCCACCTGATCAAGCTTGTGACGAGTCACATTTAGGTACGTAACTGTAAATGACGGAATGAGAAAAATGCTGAAGTCAATTGGCATTTGAACTCTCACACCTGCTATCACTTACAGCATGTTCCACGACTGTTTCATTGTTTCCGTAATTATTCCGCAATCTCCTATCGATATTTAATCGACCTTAAGGCTCTATATTCTTACAAATCGGTCATGCTGACACATTTATCCTCAAATGTCACAAATAACTCTTTGCAACAATAACAGTACGATTTGATTTAAATAGTCAAAACTCACAATCAATACGGTAACCGTTAATATGGTATCCAGCAATCCGTGCCTTGTATGGCTGAAATAAGTACTTGAAAACCTTAAACAATAAAAATTAATCGATGAAAAAACCTGGAATATCCTGGAATTATATTTGAATTGATTAACCAGATTTTATTGGACACATGGTTAATAATTGCACAATAAGCTATTCTCTAAAAGTATCGAAGACACACTGTACCTTACGATCCTGTATTCCTACACTGCATTTTACATTATTGCAATTTTTTATATTCACATTTTTATTTACATGTATATGATTATTATAGGATTGGAGATAACGCCACACGTGGATAATGGTCTTGTATTTTATTTTGGTCCTATGACTTACAATCCGAAGCTTGGAATTCAGGACTTTATGTCTCTCGAACTGCAACAAGGCTTCGCTGTATTGTATGTTGATTATGGAACAGGAACTGTAAGGCTAGATCAAAAACAAATTAAATTAACAGACGGCAAGAGCCACAGAATAGATGTTTACTGGAAGAAAACTGTAAGAATTTTCATCATACATACATTGTTTTGTTTAAGTTAAATATGCAAATTATATTAATGTTTGTTTTTTTTTTCTAGTCTATAGAGATGGTAGTCGATAAGTGCGGAATATCCGCTTGCATGAGTCTCACTGCACCACAAGGCACTAATGAATTTTTGAATGTTAACAGTCCTATGCAAGTAGGTGGTACAGTGACTAATTTAGCGCATTTAGCTTCGAATTTAGGATGGGATTACAAACCGACTGACAAAGGATTTATTGGTTGTATACGTAATATGACATTTAATGGAAATGTAAGTAATGAAAAAATATAATAAACATATATCCACAGTTACAGCAAAGTACGAATAGAGAATTAAATTATATTCTTTTGTATTAGACGTACAGTTTAGGTATGCCATCGCTATCCAGAAATGCAGATCCTGGTTGTGATCATGGCATGACAAAGGCAATCTCTTTCGGAATTGACACGAATTTTATAGTAGCTATTTTAGTTTGCGTATTAATATTGTTAATACTGCTTGTGGCGGTAGTTGTGCATAGAAGGAAGACGGATGATTTATATAAAGATATGGACGATATCAGAGAAAATATTATTAATTATGAGGACGAAGGAGGCGGTGAGGTTGACACAGGTTATGACTTAAATGTCTTGAGAGCCATTTACGATGCACCACCTATTGATTCAAAGATAGCTCCTGTTGGTTTACAGAGTAGGGGTACGATAATTGTAGATTATTAAAATTTTATCTGCGTTATGAATTATTGTACGGAAATTAAAGAGATAATTTTGTATATAGGAACTGACGAAGTTCCAGACATTTGTGGTTTCCTAGATGGTAAGAAAGAAAGTTGCGATAAAGATCCCGATACAAATCCATTCGATGATGTAAGGCATTACGCTTACGAGGGAGAAGGCAATTCAGAAGGCGATTTATCGTCACTGGCCTCCTGTTAGTACTTCTAAATTAAAAAAAATATCTTAAAGTGACTTTATATTTTTACAACATTTTCTTAGTTAATTTCATGTTCTTTTTTTGGTAGGCACTGACGATGGAGATCTCAAGTTTAATTATCTGTCTAATTTTGGGCCAAGATTTAGAAAATTGGCAGATATGTATGGAGAAGATCCAAGTGACGAGGAAAGTGACGGAGTTGGTGAACGAGAGAGTGAAAGTTGGTGTTGAGTTTTCCTAAATGACATCGTAGATATAAAATTTTGACGCAGGTAACGTAATTCTTGAATAATTAATTTTAAATTACAGTTTTAACAATATTACTTATAAATGATCGTTATTTTGTTCGTTAGAAAACGCACAGTTTGCAGATCCGTTTCCGATTGCGTGAACGATAGGAATATATTTGCATAAGCTTACTGTGCAAGTTTATGCATTTCTATAGCCTCAGATTCCAATTAATTGGAAAAAACGAGGCTTTATTGTACTTAAATCATATGAAAATGTGATCTCATTCACCGATTACTCTAGTTTGACGGTTGAAGAGACAAAGCGTACGATCCATCCTATCAACGATATGTGTAATTAACGCGCGTAGTTTATTAGTGGATGGAGTGAACTCTTTATAATTATTATAAGTGAACTATATATGGACGCTATGTAAATTTCGTTTACTCGCGAAAGTGATGCGTATCTTATACTGATCTTTGAAATGAATTTTTATGTCGTATCGTAAAGCCTATAGCGCGCATTTATGTTATACTTTTACACTAGAAGTGATATATATGTATAAGTGGAATGAGAGAAAATAGTGTGCGTTCACTTCACGTTGCACAGATGTGAACATTAAAAGTTGTGGATTATCGTGTTCTCGTATGTATTTCGACGAGTTGGACAATCGACATTTCCATACATTCGCAATTTCTCTCTTCTTTTTCCTTTTAACTTAATTACTTATACATATTTATGATATATTATGTTTTGACAAATTATAATAAGCAATGCTCCATTAGTTGGAAATATCAGTACAACGGCATAAACGTGTATTATGTAAATGGCTTAATACTTCGTCGATCATTCTATTCGGAGATTTTGTATTATTAGAGAATAATGTACAAAACGTCTTAGAAAAACTACTGAAATTTTTGTTAAAAGTTTTAAAATAAATATCAAAGAAAACCCAATGAAAGAATTATAATAATATTCATATTAAACCTCTTCCTATATTTTCTTTTATTTCAAGCCTTTTGTTTTTAATTAGAAGTTTTTTTAGACAGAATTATGTACAAAAATCATTTGATTGAAGTTATGTGTTTGAGATACAGAGTGTCCTATTGGAAATTGTTAAAATTAATTGGCTGCCATTTTTAAATGCACATAAGAAGAATAGGGAAAATAAAATCTCTTTTAATAGAAGTCATTTGGAAATTTTATTTACATATAAAGACGATAAGAAATACTTTTTTATCATTTAATAAATGTTTATAAAAATCTCAAATATTGTCACTTTTAATGATATAGTTTAAAATACCAAATGTTTAATGATATATATTTTGGAAATTTAAAAAGATTTTATTTATTCCAAAAATATATGTTATTAACGTTGGCATGTCTGGCGTTTATGTAAATATTTATTAAATGAGAAAAATATTTCTGATCGTCTTCACTTTGTATATAAAAAAACTAAAAAAATGTCATCTATTAAAACAGTGCTGGAATTTATTTGCAACTTTCAGCCGAGTTTCAGTTTGGCTCCCATTCCTTACCTCACCAACTTGCGTGGTCTAAATGTCGATCGACATAGACCGCGCGGATTGGTGAGGTAAGGGACAGTATTCAAACTGAAACTCGGCTGAAAGTTGCAAGTAAATTCCAGCACTGTATTAAAAGGTATGTTTAATTTTTCAATTCCTTAATGTGTATTTAAAAATGACAGCTGATTAATTTCAGTAATTTCTCATGAATCGTACCCTGTACGATTTCAGTAATTTCTCATGAATCGTACCCTGTACGATTTCTTTTTTTTTTTTTTCTTTAAATTAATAAGATATTGTTATACATAAATTGGCAAAGTATTAAGCCAATTTTTTTTTAATTCATCGAATTAAAACAAGGAAAAAAGCTATTGTCTATTTTGTTAACATTTTTTTATAATTGCGTAATAGCGACGAAATGCTATGTGACTGACTTTAGAACTCTAGGAAAACTTAAGTAACTTTGCAAAAATACGCTGACTGCCAGATTCAAGAAAACACTTGTCTGTATATGCATTATTAGCTTTAAATATTACATTACATTCTAGTAGTAAAGAGAACTTTAATTGGATAATATCAGTTTATAAAAAGAATACATCACGGTTTTGTAATTAATAGTCTATAACGAGAATATAATTTTTGTCAATTAATAATTTGCAATCTTGAGTTTGGCAATCGTCAAGTTACAAGGTTTCTAGATTATTTTTTATATATATATTAAATAAAAGAAGGTATATGTATATAAAGATATTTATATACATATACATATATACATATATATGCGTATGTATATATAAGATATATAAAGATATAGATAAAGAAAATTCAATATGTCAAGCTATATCATTGAGATAATTGTAAAAAAATATGAATAATCCTTATCAGAATAAAAAAAAGATAGCGCCACTTTTTTATTTAATTTATATAACGTTTTAATAATTACGTATGTGTGAATGAAAAAGAAAATGTATATGATGTATGATGCCACGAATGTAACTTGTATATATACGTATATACATACATTGTATATATATATACACGCATGTATATACAGGGTGTCTTGCAGTTTGTGAATCAAAGTACTAGAGCAAGAAAGTTTTTAAAAAATTAAATAAAAAAGTTATTTACAAATTTTTATTTTAAGCAGTACTTTTTGAGATATAATAAAGATTTGAATATGAATTAATACACACTATGTTTACACGGTCGCTTGTCTTACTTGTTCATACGTCGTACGCAGTATTATCGAGCATTTCAACTCATTGATTAACTCAGAGGTGACTGTTTAAACGCAATCCGCAATACTATACATTATATTTTAATTCTTATATCTCAAAAATACTGTTTAAAATAAAAATTTATAAATTTTTTAATTTAATTTTTTGAGAACTTTCTCATTATATGGGATATGAGAATAAGTTTCCACCCTTTCTTAATGAAAAAGATGTATTTATTTAAACAACAAAACAATACAAAGTGAATTCATTCAAAGTATGCTCCATCGGAAGCAACTTTCTCTCACCTTTCAGATAATAAACGGATTCCTTGAAGAAAAAAGTCTGGTTATTTTGAAGCGATCCGTTCACCAAGCCATTTTTTGATATATTTTTCTTCATAAAAATTGAATTGCTCTCTAGAAAGGGTCAACTGCATGAACCGGAATAAATGGAAATCTGAAGGAGCAATGTCCGGTGAATACGACGGGTGGAACAGAATTTCCCATTTCACTTCTTCCAAGTATTTCTTAATCGATTTTGCAATGTGTGGCCTAGTGTTGTCATGTAGCAGAATCAACTTATTCTGCCTATTGTTCCATTCTGGTCGTTTCTGTTTCAAAGCTTGATTCAAACAAATCGCTTCGAATGAATGCCAACTACTGGGCTCAAAAGAACACATATCTTTCAAATACATGTATTGCCGTTTTATCAAACACACAAGCAGTGCTATTAACGACATCTCTCTAATAGGCGGAAATTTATTCTCATACCTAATAGTATTTTGATTGAATTTTAAGACACTTTGTATAGATATCCAGATAGCCAAATTGAAAAATGACTGTTACAAATTTTATTGGCAAAAATGGTAGCAGAAATGTAATAGAAAATTTTAAAAATATAGCACATTAGCTACTGAAAAATAATACATTCTATTTAAATGACTACGAAATGACAGATGTACTCTATTTCCGCTAGACGCTAAAGTATAATGCTACTGGATATATGTATATTCATCCTTTATACGTGTATATTTCTTATAAGAATGAAAAAAATTGTTCTCATCCCAAGTTTGTTCCACCAGTAAGGCTTTATCGTTATAAACTACTAATCCAAGTATTCAGTATTTCAAATATTGCAATCACGGATATAGACAAACAAAAAAATAACGTACGAAGATCAAGTGCCATAGCGCGCTTGGGACGTTAATCCTTCTCTTTATTTCATGAATAACTTAAAATTGATAAGATCACCGTTTATCACGGCTCGCAAAATAGATTTAGGACGGCCAAGCACATTTTCGTCACAGAAACATTTGTTTTTCGTGTTCTTAATTGATTAATTATTGTTTCATATTGCTAGCGTCATTTTTGTTGTATCTTTATGCAGTTGATGTATACATGCTCTTATTTTTAAGGTATATACAACAAAGATGACATATGTATTACTTATATGTGGTTACGTTGAGACAATATTTTAATAATGTTCCTCGGTTTTTCACTGCGCTTTTAAGATTTTCATTGTTCTTTACAACTCATTGATAAAGAGATAAATTCAATAGAAGAATCGTTTGTTGTATGTACTTTATACTCATTATGAGTATTAAATACTATATATTTACGTACCATCTACATTATAGTAAATTGAATATTATGAGATCCTCTAAAAGTATCCTCTAGGAAGTTAAATTTGTGTTGTGATAAAGTTCATATATATAAATTATCTCAGACAGCACAGCAATGCCTGCAAAAGCGCTCAGAATGCGATTATGTCATTTGCATAAGCATTATCTGAACGCTTTGCAGGCATTGCTATGCTATATAGAATTCGATAAATTTTCAATAACTCATTTCAATCATTCATTCATTCTGTGTATATATAAGTGTATAAAAAAGTGCATAAATAACCGAGATTTTTATACTTAAGATATAAAATTCATCTTAGCATATTTTGTGCATAAAAGCAATCACAATCAAATGCCATAATTTGATAATTATATGGCTAATATATATCTAAAATAGATATTTGTTGATCAAATGTTGGAAAGAACAACGCACCACGCATTCTTAATACATATCGTGAAATCCAACTCGTATAGGTATGACATACGTGCATATGACAAGAAACGTATACGTGTATATGATAAGAAGCGTAATTTAGGCGGACATGAGTGATCTCAAGAGTTGAAGAGCAGATTTCGAACGTCCCAGGAATGTCTATGAGCTGTTTAAGGACTTGCCATTGAATGATTAAGATGGGAGAATGGATAAAATTCATATAATATAACAGAACTACACAAGAAAGATTTTATCTGTGTTAAAATTTATTCTTGTGCACTGCCGTGTTGTTCACTTTCTTTTTACATTAAAGCAATATTTGGCAAGTGTTGTTCAACAATGTTACTTAAATATAAAATTTATATGATAAAGATTAGTGTAATAATAATAGATCAGTTCGTCAGCCGAACGTGCAACAATTAATGCTAAATATTCCTCGA